TACTATTGCATTACTTTTCGGAGATGGTTTTAAACAGCGATTACGTAACTGATTTTGGTGGTCATGCTAGGTTCGTGGTAGTGGTAGTTAGGTAGGGCTAAGCACCCGTAGGAGTTACTGTAGTTGTGACAACAGTAGTAGTAACACTCTGATTAGTTTGCCTATGTAATGCAGCCGCAATACATGAATGGCCAATGGAAACGTAGTGACAGAACAATATAAGCTAGTGAATGTATAAGTTCTGAACTGGCATTTCATATAAAATAATTTGTCGAGGTGGTTTCACTTGATTATAATTCAACACTATAGCAAATATTCCTGAATACTCAGAAAATTGAGAAGCTACCGTATTATTATTAGAATTTGTGTTTCTAATGATTGTATTGCAAATTAGGGTCATTTAAAGCTGGTATAATTCTCAACATGGTATCTATCACTTTGTATTAAACTAAAGCTTCCGTCACCATTGCTAAAAGGAAATAAATTTAAAACTTGTGCGTATGTTGTATACATCGTTAACAAATGAGGACTGTTCTAGGAACATAACTATGTAATCAGTCCGACAACACGTTTAATTTTGGGCATAATGATTGTTTTTATCCGATTGACCTATGTCTCTACCCGTAATGTTCTTCGAACAATAAAGTATAAATCAATTCCTCTATTCATTTATCCAATTTAATGATTGGATCATAAGTATAGTGATATGTAATGTTAACAAACTAAAACAAGTGAATGCGTTGTTTTTTGTATTACAAAATTGATGATGATACTACAAGTTCTGTATCTTTATAGATTAATTATTATGTTATCATTATGCGTCTTGGCTACAATGAAACAACACCATGCTCCACATTGCACAAATGCAGAGTTGCCTCCAGATAGAAGCATAAGAATCATTTGCAAACAGTCATAAAAGTGTTGTGATTTACAGGTTACGCATACAATTCAATATTATTATAGGCTCTTAGTATACTTAGTGGTACGAACGAATTGGTTACGATACATTGTAGCAAAGTCCCAAGAAATATAGCAAATCGGTATACAACCGTTAATGTAATGTCACATGTCGATTAGCCAATCAAATCATGACTTTAGAAAATAAATATTAAATTTAAAATTCAACAAATATGCGAAATTTTTTTAAAGTTATAAACGTTAAATCAGTGTAAAATTTACAGTTATAACGAGACTTGTACCAAAATTTTGAAAAAAAATTTTTTACTAGTGCACAGAAGGTGGTTACATAGATGAAATTTTGAGTTACGGGCGGTTTTTTAAAAAATGCATGATTTTCACGTTACACTTGATCTTTTAATCTAATTGATCAATTGAAAAACATTTGACTCTCATCGCATGACTTAACCGGGCACAGATTCATTTATTGTCTTGTGTGTAAAAATTAATAATTTATAAATTCAAGAAACGTATGAAGTTCCTGATATGTATTCCATATTGATTGCACATCACTTAATTCGTAGCAAAAGCTACATATACACTTCAATATCACCCCGTTCCTGATAAATTTAACTCGATACTTAAAGTTAGATGAATTTAGATGAATAATTTATTTTACACCAAAATAGATAAACTAGCATCAGAATTTCACTTTTTAATCCACTTAACAAGAATTTGAGGTTATTTTAGCGACGTATGTTGATGTAATGTCAGGTGATTATATAATGATTAAATTTGTGAATTGATGGGATGATAGTGCTATTTGCTCGGACTTCGGGTTCTGATTTCCTAGTAAATGAAAATGACTCGTTTATTTTTACTTCCTTTTTAGTATATATTTGACCAAAATTGTTCATATGATATACTATCTTGATTTATTGTGATCAAAAGATCAAAATAATTTTTATTTGTACTGGCTTTGATGAAAATGGCTAAAAGCAATATTCATCCCATTTTTAATAAATACAACGTAGATGGAGAGAAAACTATTTGTTCTCTTTGCAACAAAGAATATAATACTCCTTTGAATATCTCAACAGCAAAGAATCATTTTAGATTCAAACATCTTAATATTTGGAAGGAATTAAAATCTGATCGTAGAGGTATAAGGCGTAAATCTCGTCATAGGGTTTATGAATATTTTTCGGTAAATGATTCCAGAGAATATCAGTGTAATTTATGTTCTCATAAGTTTAAAGAACCTCAATGCACAGACTTAAAGTATCATTTTGCTCGTTACCATAAAGAAGTTTGGGACTCTATTAAAAGAAGAAAAATAGAATGTGGTGATAAATTGGATCGATCTCAAGAAAATTATGAAGTCATGTCTGAAAGCTCACAAACTGGTTTTATGAGGAACGGCGAAATTCCGGAACTTGATACGGTTAATATTTCATCTGATTCTGGTAATGGTGATGATAACGATGCAGAAATGGTAAAGAACATGAGGAAAGTTAATCTTATCGAATCTATTGATATGGAGAATGAAAATACTGAAGTTAGGATTAAAAAAGACGAGGTTATCATTAAAGGAAAAGGGAAAATTAATTTTTTTAAGTGATTTATATAAATTATTGTTTGTATATAAATTATTGTTTGCTTGAGATATCAGACTTTTTATGTTTGCTTAGAAATCGTATGCTTAGAAATAACTTTATGTGAATAAATATTATTTTATTTGTTTTTCATGGGTTTTTCTGTTGCGGTCTATTTTTGTCAGTGATTAATACTTATAATCAAAATTGTTACCAGATAGCTCTAAATTTTTACTATATATATATATATATATTTAACTGCTTCTTATAACAAAAACTAATTCATCATCCCAAATATATTACGTTGACACAGGATTATGATTAGGATTAATCATTTTAGCAGTTCCTATCCCATTGTGAGGTTGCGAAAAAATGATTAATCATTGTGATCTTTGCTCTGGCCAAAGAAGAAAAATTGATAGTCTTCATGCAATAAATGTGGTTTTGGTTTTGGCTCTTTTTTCTTAATTGGTACGACAAAAGCACAGTAAGCTCACGTTTCGCGCAATTTGAGTAAGTTGCTGTACTAGAAAACTTCATATATTGTCGTCGACAATGCAAATGGGCATTCGTAACGTAGACTCGAGGATTCTTGATGTCATTTTTAATTTGAATGTATGTATTATTATTTTGTTGATTTTGAAATTCTTGATTTAGTTTTTGACGGACTTTGGGGCATCAGCATCATTTATATTTCGAACCACCATAAATTCTCCTTTGCAGTTCCTCAGGTTTTATGTTTGATACAGGATGAATGAAATTTTGAATTAACTTAGTTATTACACGATAAACTTATTTACGGATCAAGATTATTAAGTAACGTAACGTTCACCATAAAACGCCTGCGGGAGAAGCTGCCTATTTAGTTATTCCATTACAGATTTCATTGTATATATCTTAATTAGATATCTGCTTAGAGTATAATTAATCGCCCAAAAAAGATGAAATTTCATAATTATTGTGAATTCAGGCATTTTTTATACGTCAAAAATCTTTTTGCCAAATTTGATCTGATGTGGTTATCGGATCAAATATTCCGAGCTACGTGGATGAAGCGATTTTCCGAACAAATGACCCACCTGTCAATAAGGTTTATATCAATTACAATGTAACGTGTCATATATTTATAGTTTTATGTTATATAATATTCATTAAAATAAACATTGCATATATGAATAGTTGTATATTATTTGTTAAATATTAGATTAATATAGCAGATTACCAACATAAATGCTATTTAATAATTTTATTTTATATAGTTCATGCTAAAAGACTCGAGAGTCTCATCAAATATTGAGAAATGCCCTGATATTGTTATATTTGTTGAGCGTGCATGTTTTTAATGAGACTTATAATGTAAGATCATTACATTATCTGAGTTGAATAATAACAACAGACTCTGAATAAATACATTTGCAAAAATAAGATCCAAGGTGGCTAAGCTATAGCGTTGTATGTCGTTAAAAGCGCCAGTATAGTTGTTCAAACTATTTGAGACAGTCAAAATTATGTGATAATTTGCATTACATAGTTTTAAATAGTTTTAGCAATAAGAAACTGACGTTAAGTATATAGTAAAAATCAATGATTAGGGCCAAGTAATCGATTTTATCTAAAAACATTGTACATGGAACTTCTATTGATTATGTGTGAAATTAAAGCATTGCACATGGAATTCCTATTGATTACAAAAATAATTCGCTAATAGAGATATCTATTCCTGGTTTGGATATTTTCTGACCCATACATAATTAAAATATCACCTAAATATCGATTTAAATGATATTGTTCTTTATAACTCATATTAGGAGAATTGTCATTTATATTGTTTAGTTTGTTTCATAAATTTTTAGTTTTTATTATTTTTCGAAACAGAGCGAAGTGGAGGATTAATATTCTATGCGCTTTGATGACTGAATTTACAGTTTTTGATGCATTTATAATAAAATATCAAAAATATAGTTTCAGCATTTCTCGTCTGCAACTCTATTATGTTGGTACTTTGTATTAAAAAATATATATGTTTACGCGTTATGTAATATGACATGACCAGGTAGGTAGTTGTAATATTATAACAGGTAAGGATTGGAATCGGGTTATTCGACTATTATGTTTAGTTGACTAATTAGTCAACTAAACATAACAATTTATTCATCGTAAAGTAAATTTTTATGTAATTTTATAAGTTATATAGATGTTATATAAAATTTTCTATAGATTCATGAACCAATTTAGACTTATAAGTTTATTACTTTATAAATAAATTAATTGCTCAAAAACGACTTATTCAGTGTTCGATATACTAAGTAAATATGTTTAGTATGTCAAAAACCTTATCCAAATCCTGATTTAAAATTTAAATCCAATCTTAGCTCTACTATTTAAATTTTTTTTTTTATAATTCAACATAATCCTATATAAAAATATATAGACATATAAAAATTCTATATGAATCTACATTACTCAAATTGATAGTCTTTTTTTATATCGACCACATTCAGATTTGCTACCATTAAAATTGAAGTTCGAGCATTCAGTGTTACATGAATTTCAGCTTTTGCAATAGAGATTGTCTGCTGTTCCATAGCTTCATGAATAGCAACTTGCTCAAAAATATCTATTTTATCAAATTCCTCAATGGCACAGATCTTCTAATAATTATGTGATATAAATAATACAATTAATGAAATATTATATTGCTTAATTTATCTGCTAGTATTAAAGTACCCACTTCAATAGTAAAATTACGTGACTTTTCATCTTTAACAACAGCTGAAATCAGATGAGGTTTTTTTGAGAAGTAAATATAGTATGAGGATATATCTAACATGCATATTAATATAATTTTAATAATAAAAGTTACATATTTGAACATATAAATAAATGATAGTAAATATGTATAATTATTTAAAGAACTGGCTCTTGCTAGTACTAGGATCTCTAGCTATACAAATATTAATATCTCCTTTAAGATTTATCTCTATGGTTTCTTTGTGAAGCTGAATTAATACTTCATTTTATTATTTTATATCCTAAATTTTAAAACAGATAAATCAACTACTAATGTATCAATTAATTTATATAAATTAAATAAACTGATAATATAAATTTATTACCAGAATATTTAATTAAATTATTAAAAATTTTTTATTACTGCTCATTTTATCCAAAAATTTTTCTTTATTTATTTTTTTTTTTGAGTATTAATGGTGAGACCATGTTTCTGACTTTATTAAAATTTAATTTAATTCTTTTACAATAAAAAAAAATCCTTCAAAAAAGAATCTATTTAAATTTTATATTTTAAGATAGCAAAAAAAAAACCTAGACTAATTTATTTGTAGCCTAAAGTGGCTATGGTTTATCTAAATTTGTAGATTAGTAATTATATAGTTTAAATTTGTTTAATATTTAATTCATAAGAATACTATAAAACTATTTTAGCACTAGCTGTAGTAAGTGATAAGGGTTGAGAAGACTGAGAGGTTTAAAGAGATGAAACTGGTAGAGAAGATATAGTATTATTAGAAAGTTGAATTGAAAAATAAAAAATACAATAAGGTATTTAGATATTATAATAAATTTGTGAATTAAGGTATAAAAGAAATTTAATAGTAATAGTTGTCATTAATGTAGCAAATAAAATAATATCCTTAAATAAATTTATAATATCAAGAGAAACAAATCCAGACAAAGTAGAGTTGATAGATAGAATACGATGATTGTGATGAAGTATCATATTGTCAAGATATTTGATTTGACTATGAAGTATAATAATTAATTCTGGTAAGATATCTATTGATATTGAATTGATAACTTGTTGTAAAGAGTTATTGATAAAATTGTATAATAGTGTGAGTGATAGGCAAGTAACCTAATATATTAGTATACTAATTTGGCTACATTGGTATAGTGCTTCTATAGATCAGACCTGAACTAGACTTTAGTTAAGTTTGAGTTTGGTTTAATTTTTGAACCAAACTTAAACTTTTATAATTAAACTTTTTAGTTAAGTCTGAGTTTGGTCTAGGTTTGGTTCAAAGTTTAAAAATAGTTTAAGTCTGAATATACTTATGAATTTTTGAGCCAAATTTAAATTAAGACTCAAACTTTTTTCTAGTCTAGAGTAATGATGATACCTAGGTTATTTGCAGATAATCAGATATCTAAGTTTAAACTCAGCTATCCAGATAAATATACCCAAGTAATATCTGGGTAGATATATGTTTATACAGTACAGAAAGTTTTTCTAGACTGATCCAAATAACTGATAAAAAATAACAGATTATATTAATAAGATACTAGTATGTTAGTAATACTTGGTGCTATCTCTTTTTAGTAATTAAAAATAAAAATTGATACTGAAGATTTTGAAATAACTTTTAAGAGTAAAATTATTAAATTTAGTCAAACTAAGCTTAATTCGAGCCAAATTCAAATAACGTCTGTTCCCACTATTTTACACTGGCCAAACTAAATTAAAAAAGTATAGTATAATAGCAAATATTAATAATAAGAAGTTATGCTTATGCAGTATCAAATTTTAGTAAATCTTTTTAGTATAATAAATAACAAATATACCCAATATTTGAAATTATTAACCTATTGTTAAAATTCTAAACAAATCTATCAAACTGTGAATATATTCGTTATTGAAATCAAAAATCTGACTATTATTAAAACCATAAACATATGTATTATACTGATTAACATTGTTGAAATTATCAATACAACTATTATTAAAATTATGAACTAGCTATTATAAACTGCGAATATTTACTTTTGAGATCATTAGTCTGCCCACAATTCTGAAATCATGAATATACTCCACAAAATCAAATTTTGAATCAAATATTTGATCAAATTTTTAAAAAATTTGATCAAATATTTGATTTAAAATCAAATTTTGATTTGATTTTGCAGAGTACTATATACACGAAATAAATAAGACTATACATATGTTTGATTCCATCAGATAATTGATTACTCCAATATTATATGGTTTAAGTTTCTACTAAACAACAAATAATTAGAGTTAAGTACAGTTAACTCTGATTATACTAAATCTCTAGTTTAAAAGTTCATCATATCATAAACTAAACTTATTAACAAAATTGATAAATGTTTTAATACTTTGTATTCTGTTTTACAGAATTATTAAATATTTGGTTGTCCAGCTTTGATTTAGTTAAAGAATATCTATATACAACTAAGAATTATTTTGAAACTGAGATCAGCTAAGGTTAGAGTTAAAATACTAATAAACTGGTCTTATCAAAGACCAGAGCAGATTGAACCATAGGGATTCTAATAGTCCTACTAGTCCAGTCCTGGTTTACTTTTAATAGTTCAAAATCTTAAAGAATTAACTGGTTCAAGCTAGTCCTAGTTATACATGCCGAACAAATGTTTGGGATTTGGGATTTTTTTATGGACAAACCTGGAAAAATGGGATTGTCCAATCATATCTAAAAATCCCATATGTCAAAACTGGATAAATCCCAATTCCAGGTCCCAAATCTTATAGTATATAGTATTTATATAGTTGCTATACTTTTCTATTTATATAGCAAATATACTATATAGCTATAATATTTTA